TCTCTCTCTCTCTCTCTCTCTCTCTCTCTCTCTCTCTCTCTGTGTGTGTGTGTGTGTGTGTGTGTGTGTGTGGATGCGGCTGAAGAGTCTGATCACATGAGGCGGTCCTCGGGCAACACCAGGTAAGTATCTGCCAGTCCCCACTGATGCTCGCCTTCCCTGATCCCCTCCTCCACTCAACCCCCACCTATGAAGCTCTGTGCTGCATCCAGCTATGGCAGGCATAGGCAAGCGGCCACTGCTATGCTGCCTTCCTTTTCCCCAGGGCGCTATCTGGCTGCATGCACTGTTCCATCGCTGCTGCATCCCACCTGCTGCCCAAATATCGTTTGCATAGGCCGGACCTTGCTTTTATCCGTTCTGGCCAGGGACTGCACTGCCTTCGGGTAGGAACTGCCTGCCCGCCTCCACCCCCTGCTGGTAGGGCCTAGCGTGAACCTGATGACAGGCCCTGACGCCAGTTTCCTGGGAAGGATGTAGGCGGCCTTCTCCCAGGAAACCTAGCGCTGGCCTTCTGTTAGGACCACAACTCACTCAGAGTCTTGCATTCCCACCCCCATAGGCCTGAAAGCCCTGTGACAACCCTTATGCATGCCGCTGCGTCCATTTTAGCATTCTCTTATAATTTGAAACCGCTTGGGATGGCAACTTGATCCATTCTTCCCTTGTGAACTGTCTGTCTTTGCTTGGATCAACATGATATTTGAAGCAAACGCGATACCGCAGTTGAGGTTTTGCTGACCTTCCTCTTCCTGGTGGCTTTTAGGCACAGGTAAGTAACATCCTGTGTTCCCGTACATCAACATGACCGCTAATCATTGGAGGCAGTACATACGGATTCATTACAATGAAGGAAACTGATCGGTTCTTGAGAGAGGCGAAAACTTGGGGTAAACTGGGTTAACTGGGAAGATGGGGAGGTACATCAATCACTTAGTATTGTATGAATGTCAGGATTTTCCCCTACGATGTCCAGGACGGTCCATGGCCCGTAGTCTCGAGGCATCGGTCTGTTCGATATGGTCACTTCTGGCGCAAACTCAGTTGACTACAAGCCATGCCAGCTTGCCAACCTGCAAAGTAGGCATCCATCTGTGCTGATTTGTTGATTCTATCATGGCTCTCTGAGATTTTTTGCAGCCGCTTTGCAGTTTCGTGCATCATCTGCTCATGCTCTAGGGCCTATTTTATGCTTGCAGGGGCTGTCTGTGTTTTAGGATCTGGAAAAAAAAGTCTCCAGTGTTCTGGGTTCGTAGCATAAATGCAGTCAGCTCAGGGGTTGACCAGTGGCTGAATGTATAGCAATGTTATAGAGCCCAGCTATTTGAGGCCCGTGAATATCCCAATCGAGTTGATCAGAGGCGATGCAATGCCTAAGCCGCTGTTGGCACTTGTTTGTTCATCTCGTTAGCGTGGCTGTGGGCTTCAGGATGATGCCTTGAGGTCATCTTCAGTTCTGATCGTACCTGCTCAGCTGGGTCCTGCCACAATCCGCTTATCGAGTGATTAGCAAATGCGGTTATGAATGACTTTGTCTCTGCTGTAGCTGGCAGTGTTATGAAACATACAGTCATTAGACTCTCCTACGAATAGATTCCCATGAGATTTATCAGTAGGTACATGAACCCTATCAAACCCATCCTTACTCGACAACAGCCGTTTGATACTACTCACACACATTTTTATCCTGTGTGTCGAGTTGTCTTATGATTTCACTGAGAATCGCATCTCCTTGGTGGGATTCTACCACCTTTGGACTTACATGCCCATCTAATCCAAACTCCGTCACCAGCACACCTAGGGATTGAGCTCTTCTTGACAATGTGTAACTGCCAAATTGTACTTTTCATTCTCATGTTGTCTTATGATTTCACTGAGAATCTGTCGCATACACATCCACACATCGCAAGTATAGTGCAGATCCAAGGAGTCTACCCAAAGCGAGAGACCATATAAACACAGCTGAAGACTGAACATACATCTGACACAGCAATATCAGAATGGACTGTGCACTTTCATACATGCATCACACGGTGAGAAGGGGACAGCGCAACATACAAGGAAGCGGCGCTGTCCCCTGATCATCCTGAGCCGAAGTAGGAGGGAGATGGAGACTTAGGGGGGAAGAGAGGGGCGAGAGACCAAGTTGCCAATATGGCCAATCCCAAATGTCCTTGAAGTCCCAGTCTCAATACAATGTCCAAAGGCAGGTCTTTGCCCGAAACACCAGGACAGGGCAATGGCCGAGTGTCCCCAAGGTTCAGATCTCTCTCTCTCTCTCTCTCTCTCTCTCTCTCTCTCTCTCTCTCTCTCTCTCTCTCTCTTACAAACGCGGATGAATCTTTCGCGATAACGCGGAAGATTCATCCACTATTGAGAGAGAGAGAGAGAGAATGGGCCTGGATGCACTACTCTCCAAAAGTGCAAAGTGAGAATGAATCTTCTGCAAGAACATGGAAAGATGCGCCGCCATATTTTTTGTCTTATGTGCATGTGGAGAGTCGAGTCCAATGTGAACGTTGTCTCTCTCTCTCTCTCTCTCTCTCTCTCTCTCTCTCTCTCACACACACACACACACAC